GTGCTACGTGTGTGTGAGTGCTACCCCCCCCAAACCCTTACCCTTCTCATCCCCACCCTTTTACTCCCAACATCCCCCCAACAGGTACGCGGTGTACCTGCTGGTGTTCTCGATGGAGGACCTGCTGCACCAAGACGAGAGCAAGCGGACAGAGGCGTGGGAGTTTATGGAGCACTGGTTGTCTTCTCTCCACCTCCATGCAAAAGGCGCGCCCGTCCTCATCGTCGGCACCTTCGCTGATGTGGTCAGTCAGCGGAAGCAACATGAGCAGATCTCGCGTGACATCCACAGCCGCCTGCGCCACAACCCGGCCTTCGCTTCTGTTGTGTACAACAGCAAGCACAAGCTGTGGTTCTGGCCCGTCGACAACACCAAGTCCATCGGCGACCCCATGATCCAGGACCTGCGCCAGACCATCTCCTCCACAGCCTTAGCGCAGGAGTACGTGAGCCAGGAGGTCGCTGTACCCTACCTCCACCTCTACGACAAGCTCAACGCCATTGCCCGCGACGAGAAACGGCCGCTGCTCACGTTTGACGAGGTGGTCCAGATTGCGCGCACCTGTGGGCTGCGCACACGTGAGGAGACGAGAGCCTGCCTCCAGTTCCTGCACTTGTACTCCATGGTGCTCTACTACGACAGTGTGCCAGGCATGGAGGCCTATGTGATCCTGAGCCCGCAGTGGGCGGTGGACACGATGACGCGCGTTATCCGCACGTTTGGCCTGCACGACGACGATGTGCAGGGGCCGGAGGTGCGGGCACTTGGCGCCAGCGTGTGGGACGACCTTGTCGACCGCGGCATCCTGCACCGTCGTCTGCTGGAGGTGTTGTGGAGAGACGTGGACAGCAACTTGGTTGACCCGTTCCTGCGCCTCATGATGCAATATGGGCTGTGCATTGAGTATGCATCACCCAAGCTGGTGGACAGCCGCAGAGCGCTCGCCCGCACCAACTCCGGCCACGGTGACAACGATGGTGTGAGCAAGGGCAATGACGCACACCAACGCCAGCAGCACCAGCAGCAGCAATACCTGGTCCCAGCCATCCTGCCGATGACGATCCGCCACAGCAGCAGCACGATGGAATCTGTCACTCTGAGCACGACAGCAGCACAGCAGGTCAATCCATATCTTGGGTTTGAGGAGAAGACGGCGTATGTCACCTTTCGCCTGAAGCAGTTCAAGACAGAGGCGAGCGTGCGTGTTGAAGACGCACAGCATGCGTCTTTCCTGCCAGAGGGCCTGTTTACGGTGGTGTTAGCGCATGTGATGACGCATGCACAGCACGGCGCATCGCAGCAGCCCAAGCTGAGTCGCACCCACGCCATCTGCTTCATGGAGTCGACCAAGCTTGAGTTGCAGCTTGTGCCGGCTGTTGGCGGCATCAAGATGAAGATCACGAGTGCGCAGCCACGCGCCATGCTGCATATGCTGCACAAGATGATTAGCGAGGCCGCCAGAGAGCGCTATCCCGAGCTGAAGAGCAGCCTGTTGTTGCCGTACGACGACAAGACGCTGCTGTTCTTCGAGGATGTGCTGCACCACCACAAGAGCAAGCAGGACATGTGGGTGGACGAGCAGCTGCTGCCGCCCGATGACCTTGTCGCCAAGTATGGCCCTCTCTTGCCCGTACTCGGCCTGCAGGACAAGTACGACGTCTTCATCAGCTACAGGTGAGCTGTGTGTGTGTGTGTGTGTGTGTGTGTGTGTGTGTGTGTGTGTGTGTGTGCAAGTGTGTGTGTGTGTGTGTGTGTGTGTGTGTGTGTGCGCGTGCGTGTGTGCGTGTGTGCGTGTGCAAGTGTGTGCGTGTGAGCGTGTGCAAGCGTGTGCGTGTGCGTGTGTGTGCGTGTGCGTGTGTGCGTGTGTGTGTGTGTGTGTGTTTGTGCCAGTACGTGTCTGTCACCTCCACCAACTCGCCACAACTAATGCATGCAGTTTACCGTTATCTCATCACGACCTTTTTCAACCCCCCCCCCCCCCCTCTCCCGCAACCACAACAGGCAACGCGCCAGCAGTGGGCTGGTGATGGCGCTGCATCCGCGCTTGGAGCAGCGCAACCTGGTGGCGTTCCTGGACGCCAACAACCTGGAGACGGGCCTCAACTTCAAGTTGTCGTTCATGACGGCGATTGGGCTGAGTCTGGTGGCGTGCCCCATCGCGTCTGCTGCCACCATCATGCAGATGAGGCAGCTGCAGCACAGCGACTACTGCGACAACGTGCTGCTGGAGTGGATGACGATGCTGGCGCTGCACGAGTTCCAGCGGGCGCACGAAGAAGACGAGGAGCAGCAACACGCCAAGATCCGCCTTCGCCGTGTCGTGCCCGTGATTGTTGGCAGCGCGTGGCACAATGTGAACGATAGCAGCAGCATGAGCAGGGCCGAGGTGAGCGAGTACGACTCGTTTGACCGCCTGAAGCGGCTGGCGATGACGTTGCCAGATGTTGTAAGCAAGGAGACAGCCGTAGCGCTGGACCAGTATTTCACGCAGGTGCTACACTTGCCACCGCCACAGCAGCACAAGAGTGTACGTGAGACTGTGTTGTCACTGTTTGACATTGACGCGGTGGTTGCTTTGAATGCTGTTGTGGACCGCACGTCACAGCTGCGCGACATTGCAGAGAAGGTGCGCCAGGTTGCCGTCTCTGCCAGAAGCGACGAACAAACAACGCAGGAAGCAGGCACAGCACGTCGATCCACGCAGGTATGGTATTTTTGTGTGTGTGTGTGTATGTGTATGTGTGTGTGTGTGCGCGCGTCCATGCCTGCAGGCGCATCCCTGGCAGCTTGGCGTTCACACTCTGTTTCACCCACCCCTTTCACCCACATATCCAGCAGTCCTCCTTGTCGCTCTCGTCCACCACCGCGACAACTCCTGCTCCACCGCCACCCGCCACCCCATCTTCCTCCTCGTCCTCCTCATTGCCATTTGAGCCAGATCTCGTTCAATGGCTCAACCGCCACTCGCTGCTGCCGCACGTCGAGTCCGCCCTGGTGGAGCACGGCATCGACTGCCTGGAGGTGCTAGTCGTGTCTGTTCATGAGGATTTGCTCACGATGCAAATGTTGAAAGGTGCGGGTGTGAGAGTGGGCCACGCAGTCAAGCTGGTGCGAGAGGCAATGAAGTGTTATGTGGACGCAAGCTCAGCGTATTAGCTCTTGGCCACTTGCCTCGTGGCACGCCCTTTCTTCTCTTTCACCACCGTCCATTTTGTGGCTTCTATTCTCTCCTCCAGTCCTGTCACCGTGGTGCAGTTGTTACATTTCGTCCATCACCCACTGTTCTGTTACACGCACGCCAGTTGTGGTTTCCTTCCTTGACGCTCGCTTGTGTTCCACTGCTCTGTGCTACTGCTGCTGCTGCTGCTGCTGCTGCTGCTGTTGTTGTTGTTGTTGTTGTTCTTCTTGTTGTTGTTTAAGTTGTTGTTGTTGCTGTTGTTGTTGTTGTGGTTGTTGTTGTTCGACTTGTCATCAACAGATGCGTTTGTTCTTGTGCGCACAATGGCTGTCGGTCTTCCCTCCGTGACCTGGCCCCGTTTCGTTTCATGATAAACACACACACACACACACACACACACACACACACACACACACACACACACACACACACACACACACTCACTCACTGGCTTGGTTTGTGCATCTTCGCTTCTACACTGAATTCAGTGTATTTGTGTTGGTGGCACAGGCGGACAAAGGCGGACACACAGACACACACAGACACAAGCACACACCGACACGCAAGGCGCACTGTGTGGAGGAACGAAAGGGAGCGGCGAAACAGCTTCAACGTCAATGAACAGATACAAGGCAACGGAAAGTGCACAGCAAGCAAGCAAGAGAGCAAGCAAGCAAGGCAGAGCAAGCAAGCAAGGCGGTAGCCAGTGTTAGGCGGGAAAGAAGCAAGAACATTAGGCGGGAAAGAAGCAAGAACTTGCGAAATCAACAACAACAACAACAACAACAACAACAACAACAACAACAACAACAACAACAACAACAACAACAACAACAACAACAACAACAACAACAACAACAACAACAACAACAACGAAGTGCAACTCCATCCACAAACTTGACAAGGCACTCACACGCGCAGCACTGGGCCGGGCTGGACGCGAAAGCCACTGTCACGGAAAAGGCGCAGCACATGGGATGAGCCCAACCGCTGTGCCACTTCGGACCAAGTGAACAACAAGAAGACAGCGGGCACAGCATCCGTAGGCACGGCCACATCATGCCGAACTTGGATGTAACGAGAAAGAGAAGAGGACACAGACAGGGCGTCTTTGAATTCAGGAAACTTGCTGAGGTCGATGCCGCTGCCGCCGTTGATGGTGTTGAGAAGGAAACAAGCCTTTTCACTGTGCCACTCTGACTCGTCCTTGCGCCACAAGAACCTTGACACTGACCGTGTGGTGTCTCCGAGGAACCGCACATTGCGGCAACTCTCTTGCAGTGTGAAGACCCGTACAGCAGGCTTGTACTGAGGAGGTTCGCGCACCGGAACCATATCAGGGCGTGGTTCGACGAGCACGGGGCGTATGGGCTGGGGTTGATCAAAGTGCACGCTGGCAACTGCCAGGAGTAGGCGTTGGGCGTCCAAGTCCTGCAACTCCTGGTCCACGGCATCGAACCGGTCAGCAAAGTCGGAGACGCAGACCTCAAGGCTGCACTGCTGCAAGATTCCCTGACACTTTGGTAACTCATCGCGACAAACTGGGAACCGGCAGGAGGGAGACACCTTGCCCGCATGCTTGTCGAGAAGGTCTTGGGTCACGAGTGCATCGCCAGGACGGGTTGAGTTGGCCAGCGAGATAAAACGGGCTGCTTTCTCGGTTGACAAGCTGAACGCCGCCCTGATGAGTCGAGGACGCCATGATCTCGCGGTGTGCTGCACACGCCGTGAGCTGTACCTTGGTGCCTTGTTTACAGATGAGTTGTCGGTCGCAGCGGTCAGGGCGGAGTCGACTTCATTGTCTCCTCCGTCATGCCGAGCACGACCAGTTGCAGGTGTGGCAAGAAGTCAGCCAGTACATCCAATGCTGCGGAAATATCTGGCTGCACCACGTCAATCTTCGATTGTATCTCCTTCAACGCCTTGTGCAGCACACCCAGGTGATGCGGGTCTGCGTCGTGTGCCGAGAAGTGCGCCGAGCACAACGCGTCGAGGCTCTCCAATGCACAAAGCGGATCAGACAGCAGGCTGGAGTGTGCAAGTAGGGTTCGTGCTCCTCGCAGCAGGGTGCGGGCGCTGTCTGCATCGGGGCGGTCCAGGTCGACATAATAATCGTCGGTTGGGATGGCACTGGCTCGCAGCCACATCCAGCTGTGAAGGCGAAACTTCGCTGCCACGAAAGAAAACACGTGGCACTTATCAAGGCCGATCCTGTGAGGCCAATACTCAGGATGGGTCGGGGGTGGTGCTGAGGGATCGCGAATGAAGATGTGGCGATTCTTGAAAGGATCTTGAGCACCCCAAATGGCGCCGCTGACAGGCGCTGATGGCCAAGGGATAAGGCTGAAGTGGCCTTCCTCGCCGTTGTTGTCGAATACAACTGCAGCGCCGATGGCGCCCAGGTCGGTGTTGATCGGCAGTTCAAAGCCAAAGAAGATGGATCGCTTTGTGACCTCGTCCTTCCTGTTCGACGTGCCTTTCGGTGATCTCTCTCGCGTCACGTCGTCCGGCGTCACAAACGTGTCTTGGTATAAGTCAGGTGTGTGCAGATAGCCAGAAGAGGGAGTGGGTGGTGGGGCCATAGCGGTCACCGCAAGCTTTGAGCAACCTTTATGCTCGTGGGGTGGGGCTGAACAGGCTCAGTCACTGTCTTCAAGCCTGCGTCTGTGGCAGGTAGGTCGCGTCGAAGCGACATGCCGCGCACGCTGGTGTGGGCTCCGTCCAGGAAATAGGGAGGGTGCTTGGCTTCTCCTGGGAGCTTGAATGCGCCACACCAGAGCGGTGCCACTTCGGACAGCTGATTTGGATTGTCGCTCTTGACAACGGGGTGGACCTGCGATGGTTTCACGGTGCGGTAAAGAGGTTGCGGGGTCTTGAGGAACACCTCGAACACAGCGAGAGCGCTTGTTGTTGTATAGAGGTCGTGGTGGTCGTCGAGGCGTGCTGCGGTGGTGTCTTCACAAACGAGCAATTCATCCGCTGTGAGTGGGGGGCCAGTCGGTGGTTTGTGTGTGTGTGTGTGTGTATGTGTGTGTGTGTATGTGTGTGTATGTGTGTGTGTATGTGTGTGTGTAGGTGTGTGTGTGTGTGCTTGTGTGTGTGTGAGTGTGTGTGTGCTTGTGTGTGTGTGTGTGTGTGTGTGTGTGTGTGACCACCCTGGCACCTGACAGCAGCAGCAACAACAACGACTACCACCTCTTTCCTGCCCTCCTGCCCTCGCCTTCCTTGCTGCCCGGCTGGCCGCCCACCCACAATAACCATTTGCGTGAGGCTTAGGGGATACCCCCGCCTGCCGCCAACTCCCCGGGGGTTTGTAATTGAAGGGACGAGTGTGTTGGCTCATCTCCCTCTCCTCTCGCCTCACTTCCCTTGCTCTCTCTTTCCTCTCACGTGTTGCTTGTCTTCCCTGAACCAGCGCACAACACCACTCTGTAATAACGTGGACGGAACACAAAAGAAAGGTCAAACCACAAGAGGCTCTGACAGGTGTGGGGAAGAGAACGGAACGGCTGTTGCAGTGGACAGAGCAACAGCTTGAGGATGTGCGCCACACAAACACACACACACACACAAACACACACACACACACACACACACAACAACAATGGGGGGCGTGGTGACAGCGTCGCCATCCTCGTTTGTCAGGGCGACATCATCAAACACCGTCGCCATCCTCGTTTGTCAGGGCGACATCATCAAACACCAGCAGCTTCTTCTTCTTGGTGTCCAGGCCTGCCTCCTGTGCCAGGCGCTTGATGCTCTTGTCGGTTGGCGCGTCGCCTTGGCCCGTGGCTTCGGGCATCTTGCCAGAGCTCCTTGCCTTGCGCCACGCCTGGATGAGGGCGTTCACCTGCGTCCCGCCAGTTTTCATGATCTGGCGCATCGCATCATTCTGTATGCGCGTGCGTGCGTGCGTGTGTGTGTATGTGTGTGTGTGTGTGTGTTTGTGAGGATTCACAAGTGGGTGCGGTTGAGACTCACAGTAACTGCTGCCAACTCACACGCTCAAACACACACACACACACACACACTCAAACACACACACACACACACATTCCGACACACTCTTCCCCCTTCTGCGTGGCACCGCGTTGGGCACGTACAACGGAGATGTCGATTGGCGGGAGCTTGGAGTAGTCAATGGCAGGCTTGACAGGGTACACCTTGCGCTTGTTGATGAACCACGCGGCAACATCTGTACATCATGGAAAAAAAAAGAGGAACGGCATCAATTTGTGTGTGTGCGTGTGTATTCGTGTGTGTGCGTGTGTGTGCATGTGTGCGTGTATGCCGGAACCAAGGTCATCGCCCTCCCTTCTACATCACACACACACACATCTCCTTGACGCCATACCGAGGCCGTGTTCGTCCTTGAAGAACTTGATGACTTCGCCGAGGTTCGACAGCTGCGCAGGCACCTTCAGCTTGTCCCACTGCACACACACACACACACACACACACACACACACACATATGCACGTGCATGCAGTGAGCAGACGGGATGAGAGCACGAGAGGGTCAAGATGGGACATGACTGCTCTGACTACACAAAAGCCATACACAGCACTTTGTGTTTGCAACGCAGATGGCACCACCATCACCACTCTTCTGACCTTTGTGAACTTGGGCGGGTGGCAGACGGTCTTCTCCTCAACCATGAAGTCGTCCACATCCGGCGCCGTGTCGCCGACAGCCTCAAGCTCAGCCTCAGCCTCAGCCAATGCCTGGTGGTGGCATTGGTGGGAAGGGAGTCAATAAGCACATGCCTCTGATCCCTCCCTCCACAACACACACACACACACACACACACACACACACACACACACACACACACACACACACACACACACACACACACACACACACACACACACACACACACACACACACACACACAAAGACCAGCACCTTGTCAACGGCGTTGATAGTGTCGTCGCTCGCTTTCCCAAAGGCGGACAGCTGCTGCTTGAGCGCACGAAGAGTCTGCAGCTTCTCCTCTGATTGAGACAAATACTGGCAAACGCGACGACAACAAGGACATGGTGGTTGCACCGTGAGCAGAACATGAGAGTGTCACGCCAGTCATTTTAGTCCACGATCAGTTGGCAAACGATGCACTACCCTACACCACATCATCCAGGACCACCCTAACATCCACCATCCACCATCCACCATCCGTCACCCCACCCCACCCCATCATCATCGTCACCTTGTTGAACTGCTGCACGGCCGCCTCAAAGCTGCCCGAGTCGAGCTTCTTCTTGGTGGACGATGTGAGCTGCTTGGCGGCCGGCGGCTCAAAGAAGAAGTACGTGTTGGCGCCGAGGTTGTAGTTGGCGTTGCGGTACGCCTCCAGCGGCTTGTGCTGCACTAGCTTGTACAGCTCCAGCATGACGAGGCCCGTCACAGAGGCCGTCGACGTCGCAATCGCAGGGATGATCCGCCCAGCGATCATCTGCCGCAGAAGCAAGTGGAGGGAAAACATGGGAGATGTGAGATGTGAAGGAGCGGAGGCGATGGATATTGTTCTTTGTGAGATAAATGATTGGTGATCAAAGCACACACCTACACGCACACACGCACACACGCACACACACACACACACACCTACACACGCACAAACACACACACACGCGCGCGCGCGCACACACACACACACACAGACACACACACACACACACAAACGCACACACACACACCTTGCACTTGTGGCGGGTGGCTGTTGGGATGCGGTAGTTGGAAGCGCGGAGGTTGGCGGCGGCGGCGATAAAGTCAATGTGGAAGTTGTCATCGTCGTCCTTCTCAAAGTCGAGCGGCTCCACCGTTGCGCTGCCGACGTTCTTGGCGATGGTCAGCACCTCCCCCTTGAGCGCATCAAACGCGGCCTGCGGGTCCTCGTCCTCCGCCTCGTCCATCGCAGCACCATCGTCGTCGCCATCACCAGCGTCATCATCGCTGCCACCGCTGCCGTCTGTGGTGGCGGCCGCCTTGCTGTCGTCGTCGAGGTCGCCGACCTTGTGCCGCACGTACGGCGGAGGATCGCGGCCACCAACCGTGGACAGCAGCCACGACTCGTCACGGTACTCCGCCATCCACCTGTGTACGCGCAGAAAAGGAGGGCGTGGGTGACCGAGGTGACGGAGGTGATACACGTTTGCAGAGAGCGCGCGCGTGCGTGTGGATGTATGTGCATGTGTGTGCATCTGTTGGAAGCCTTGAATGCTTTCAACACTGCGTCGAACACTCCAAGCAAAGCCCATGCCATCACGGCTCACCGCTTGGTATGGAGCTTGTTCTCCTCGCTCGGGTACTTGGTAGGGTGCACCTGAACATCGGCGCACATGAGGCAGTGATGTCAGCATAAACGACTGCACACAACTGCCACCACCCGACCCCAAGCAACCCCCACCAACATCTAACCCCAAAGCAAACAACGCACCCCACAGCCAGCCCACCTTGAAGACGCATGCGTAGAGGTTGGCGGCAGCAATCAGAAACTCCTTGTGCAGCGGATTCTGCGGATCAAACACGAGCGCCTCGGGGAAGATCTTGTGGCCTTTATGGGCAGCAC